CCCATGGCAGGGGGGTTGGAACTAGATGATCTTTGAGATCCCTTCCAACCCTAAACATTCTATAATTCTATGATTCTATGATTCTATGTTTACCCTCGAGAAAAGGAGGCTCAGGGGAGACTTTATCGCTCTCTACAACTACCTGAAAGGAGGTTGTAGCGAGGCCGGTGTTGGTCTCTTCTCCCAAGTAACAAGTGATAGGATGAGACAAAATGGGCTCAAGCTGTGCCAGGGGAGGTTTTAGATGGGATATTAGGAAAAATTTCTTCACGGAAAGGGTTGTCAAGCATTGAAATTGAACAGGCTGCCCAGAGCAGTGGTGGAGTCACCATCCCTGGAGGTATTGAAAAGACGTGCAGATACGGTGCTTAAGGATATGGTTTAGTGGTGGACTTGGCAGTGCCGGGTTAACAGTTGGACTCAATGATCTAAAAGGTCCTTTCCAACCTAAACGATTCTATGATTCTATGAAATGTCAGGAAAGCAGCAGGGGGTAGAAGCAGATTAGAGCTGCCAGCTGGAGTGCACTCGCAGACAGGGAGATCAGACCTCTCACAAATAACCAGCCCCTGCCCAATGCTCCAGATGCTGTCTGGGAAAACCGTCTGGCAACAAAAATCGCTGGAGCAAAATGCCTTCTCCTTCCATCCCCAGCGCCTCACCCAGGATGAGTGATTTCATTTGTAAGCAGCTTCATGTAAGCAGTTAGCACCGACAGAGTGAGCAGCCCCTGCTCTCTTGTTCTGCTCCAGATGATGCTCCAGAGAGGAGCAGGTAAGAGCAAGACATTAATTCTGCCAGCTTCGTTTGCTCAGAGGAGATCACAGCGAGAGACATGGAGGCAGCTGGAAGCCCGTGGCAGGCTGATTGTTCAGTCACAACACGGGTACGTCACCTAACTTAACCAGCATGAACTGCCTAAACGCCAGCCATCCAGTCCCAGCACATCGTGTTGGCTGTCCCTAAGGCCAGCGGTCAGAGGTGGGTGTCACCAGGGAAGAAACACATCCCACGTGAGCTGGGGGCAGGTAAATGGCCATTCATAGAATCATAGAATCGTCTGGTTGGAAGAGACCTTCAAGATCATCGAGTCCAACCATTCACCCTGCACTGTCAGGGTCCCTAAACCATGTTGCTCAACACCAAATCTACATGGTTTTTAAACACCTCCCTGGGCAGCCTGTTCCAGTACTTCACAACTCTCTCAGGAAAGAAATTTTTCCTGATTTCTAACCTAAATTTCCCCTGGTGTAACTTGAGGCCATTCCCTCTCGTCCTGTCATTCATAACGTGGGAGAAGAGACCGACCCCCATCTCCCTACAACTTCCTTTCAAGTAATTGTAGAGAGCGATAAGGTCGCCCCTGAGCCTCCTCTTCTCCAGACTAAACAGTCCCAGCTCCCTCCATTCAAAGCATCCCTCCCTGTCTCAGAACTATCTCTCTGCTGACTATAGGTCCAAATAGTTTGGTAGAAGAAGTGAAAGCTGAACGTAGCTTTTCCAATGACTAAACCAGCACAAAATGAATCCCATCCTACAAGGAGATGTTCATAGGTGTTGCACACGCACAGGATGATGTAGGATTTTGATTTGGATCGCGAGGGTCAAGAAAGTCATCTCAGGGAGCTGAGCTGAGGCTATTTTTATTTTCTGTCTGTTCCTCTCAGAAAAATTAGCTACCGCTTGGCAATGAGACTGCTGCTTTACATTACATCTAAATTATTTTTTAGGATGCCTAGAATTTGCTGTGTCTACCCTGCATGCTTTTAAGCTCAAACGTTATCACTAATTATGCATAGTTTTTCACTAGGCTGTGGAACACCTATAGAAATGAAAAGGAAGAAGGAACAGTACGTACGAATGCAATGTTGATAATTTGCCCTGTAGCTGAGCAAATATCGTAGCTGAAAGGATCTTTAAACCAGCAACTTGAAATTAATAGTGTACTGGTTTGACACATCCAATCATCTGATTTACCTCAACCCAGCCTTCTCCCAGCTGCAGTGCAGAACACTAAAACCGAAACACATAGGTCCTGGATTTCATCTTTAAAGACTCAACAGCACGTTTTCACTGTTCTGTTGCACGTCATTAGTTTTTGCTTAAAACCAGGGTCCTCTGATTGTAAAACAAAGACTTTTCTCTGTTGCGAAGAACAACAGTCAGCTTCTGCTGTAATGAATTGCCTGAAATTCTCTTAATCTCCTTTATATAAAGGAAGAAGAACAGAATAAAGACCAAGTCCCACATTCAGGATTATTTGTGACATTTGAATGCAATGCAATTAGTGCTTCATTAAGACAGCTTCTTATCTGCCTGGCTTTGACAGCACAAAGTAACATTAAAATTCTGAGGGAAGGAACTCTGCAGAACTCAACAGTCTTACAATTCTTGTCATCTCACTCAGAGAGCTCTCATCCCTGCTTATTTCTGGCTTTTCAACTCTGTATCTAAGACACTCGGCAGCAGGTGAAGTCATGTGGATCGAGGAACTGGCTATCCCAGGAGGAGGCTTCCAAAGCATGCATTTAAATAAGTTTTCTAGTTAGGAGTTACAAATTTTTTACAATTAGGGTGATGAAACACTGGAATGTGTTGCCCAGAGATGTGGTAGATGCTCCATTTCTGGAAACAATCTTGGTCAGGTTGGACAGGGCTCTGAAGAACTTCATCTAGTTGAAGATGTCCCTGGTCACTGCAGGGGGATTGGACTAGATGGCCTTTAAAGGTCCCTTCCAACCCAAACCATTCTGTGATTCTCCAAACCGTTCTGTGATTCTAATATCTGATTTTTCAGAAACACAGAGCAGTGTCGTGGCAGCTTGATGTGGAAGAACATGAGACTCAGCATTAGGTCAGAGGAAAATATCCAAGCTCTGCGTCTCTCCCAGCAGTGGTGAGATCAGAAAATGTGGCTCAGCTTTAAAGAGTTTTCAGTATCTCTTTTTGTGCATAGCAATGATCAATAATATACATTCTGGCCCAACACATCACTAGTCAAATTTTGTTCCCTCTAGAGGATTAAGTATCATTGTTTAAATCTTATTGCCACTTTTTGCGTAGTTTGAATCTTTGGCACCAAGTTCATTACTTTGCTGAGATTCTGAATGAAATTTAATGTATTTTATCTAAGCAGAAAGAAAAAAAAAAACCCGACTACTTCCCTGCTTGTAAATTGGTTCTTTTGGTTGTGTACGACATCATTGATAATTCATGCATTTTAATTGGTATTTATGCACTTCTATTTCTGGTAAACTAAGAGCAGTATAAATTACGACCAGCAACAGTTCACAAAAAGACCAAAGAGAATTAAAAAGATCATTTATTGTTATTTTAATAGAACAAGAAAACTGAAAATATCCTGTAGATAAATGGAGCAACAAATGGTTAATTACGGGGTTGATGGCTTAATCTAGCTTCTCATTTCACTGTGCTAGTTAGCACTAACTGTGAACCATCTGTCTGAGAGTTTAGCACTACCCCCACAAGTATTTCATTATGCAGTTTTAATATGCACTTTTGACAGAAATGGAAATGGGCTCAGATCAGTTTTCATGTCACACCAGGCTACATAAGTTTTCAAGGCTAGAATACAAATCAGAGAACACAAATCTTTCCTTCCCTCTTCCCGAGTGCTCCTGTCCTCACTCTGCCTGGGAATGCAAATGCCATGTTTACCTTTGCAGGGAAGGTGGGAAAGAAAACCAATAAATACAGTTCACTGCTATCGCTGGAGATAGAAGATCCCCCATGCTCTATTTCTCAGAGAAAAATAGAAAGTATGGGAACAATTTTCAAAAGCTTCTGAAATCCTGGTCTCTAAGAATTGTGTGCATGGTCTGCCTGTTGCTTCTATAGAGCAATAAGAGGGCTATAAACCCATGATCTGCTTCCAAATGAGAGATCTTGTGCCTGCTTCTCTAGGAAAGCCTTGCCTTGGGTGGGACAGTCCAGCATGCTGGATGACTGGGCATAGCTGGCAACAGGAAGGTGGGAAGGTGCTACCTGCCACTAAAGATACCACCATCCCTTCCCTTTGTGCTATTGCTAGTTCATGACAGCAAAATCTGGAATGTCTCTGGGTGAATAAGCTCTATTTGATTTCATTTTATGTGAAAGTGATTTATAAAGCTCAGGGGAAAGTATGGGGCAACTGGCAAAGGGAGTTTGACCAAGATGACTGAGTCAAATCAGAGAACAGATTGAGGTATTCCTTAGGCACAGAGAAAAATTGTGTGTCTGTGCCATATATTCAGAAGATGTATGCTGGAGGTCTGATTCTTTGGAAAGCTGCACAAGAGTTTCTGAGAAAAAAGTTAGAAGTGGCAATGCTGAAGTACGAAAAGGTGCTGCACCACAGAAACCTTTTTAAGACCGTGCTAAAGTAGGCGAAGAGCAGTTCGTCACTTGGCTGGAAACTGGTGGCCACCTAGGACCAGTGTTTAGAAACTTATTACTTACAGGAAAAAGGACAAGTTCAGACTAGGTGAAAGAGATAAAAGACTCAATAAAATATCATTCACTGTTCTTTCTGACCATGGGTTAAGCCACTGGGTCTTACCCCGTTCTCATAAAAATTCAAGACACAGAAAACCAGAAGGATATTTACGAAAAAGCACGCTAAATAAACGTAGCAGAGATGTGTTCATCGCTTGGTGACATCTGATGGTGTGGAGTGAGCACATCATAGAATCATAGAATCATAGAATCACAGAATGGTTAGAGTTGGAAGGGACCTCAAAGATCATCTAGTTCCAACCCCCCTGCCATGGGCAGGGACACCCTCCACTACACCAGGTTGCCCAAAGCCTCATCCAACCTGGCCTTGAACACTGCCAGGGATGGGGCACCTACAACTTCTCTGGGCAACCTGTTCCAGTGCCTCACCACCCTCTGAGTGAAAAATTTCTTCCTTAGATCTAATCTAAATCTTCTTTATATCTAATCACTCCATTCCTTTCTCAGACATATATTTACAGTGACCCATAACAAACAAACAAGCTACATTTTATTGCCCAAATATAAGTGGTGTTTACTTGGGGCTGGTGGTTTGTTAGGGAAGGTAAAGGTAAGCCACTGTGCTTTTGTGCAAGATACGACACCAGGGTAAAATACAATCAACAGAAGTGATGGGAGTCATTTTGCATACTCCTTTCAAAATGCAAGGAGAAAATGAAATGACACCTTATTTGTACGAACAAGAAAAGAAAGAAAGAAACCTGCTTGTGTGCAAGAGGGAGAAGGGAAGGGGAGAGACGTGATGCTTCACTTGAAAGGATGGATTATTTGGAAATGTCCCACCCAGCCCAGGCTCTCACAGAGGGGTTCCACTCTCCCATGGGCTTAGGGCATGGCTGGCTTCTGCAGGAGCTGAGGGTGCGTCCCGGGGACCAGAATATATTGCAGGTGCCCTGGATTGTGAGCCAAGGCTCTTTTGCAGGGAGGGATAGTGAGACCTAACAGCAGAGACTGTGGTTAACCTTTACAGCACAGCTTTTGCCCTTCCTCTCTTCTTTTTTGACTCAGTTCCTGCAGGAAAAAAACCATGAGAAACCAAATGGAAAAATGTAATAAATGAATAAAAGTGAGTCACTCGCTGCCTTTCTCCACTTTCTCAGGGGCTGAGGGGCTCCAGCACGAGCAGGTTGCCGAGACGCGAGATGTGAAGTGTATTTACCCTTTCCAGGAACCAGTGCGGGCGGGTCCCCTTGCCATCCGTCCGGATCCTCATCTTCCTGAGGGGTGCGATGTCGGCGATCTCCATAATGAAACTGTCCTCTTGGCCTCGCTCAAACCTGGAGGGATTGAAAGAGAGAAGAGGTTTTTCCCGCTGCTTTACAGCATCGTTGCGTCTCGATCCCCTGTCCGTGCTGCCGCTCGCACCTTGCCAACACCCTCAAATTAAAAGTTTATAAGTGCACTTTATTGGACTTGAGCTTTTCAGCCCTGCAATCACCAGCTACTGCGTTTTTTGGAAAGACACCTCAGTGCAGATTTGACAGGGATTCCTCCTCCCCTGGAAAATCAAGCCCATACGAGGCACCTGGAGCCATTCCAGGCAGCCTGCAGCATGTATTATCACTCTGTTTGTAACCAGAACAATAGAGACTCACAGTCAGGTTTCTGCACGTCGCCTTCCTCCTGGCATCTGCCCACATGCCTGCCCTTAGCCCATCCCAACGAGGAGGCAAAGCAATTTTGCTTAATCTTCTTTCGCTGAGACGCAGCACGTAATTTTGCGTTTGCCGCGGTGACAGACAGTTGCAGCTCTGCTAAATACGGCAACTGGATGGCAAGCCGGAGCCCGACGCCTGAGTTTGGTAAGTGCAGGCAAATTGTGTTAGAAAAGAGCCACAACTGACCATCCTGCACTCCCCTCCTGCATCTGGGGAATCTGGATTTGCAAACTGGCTCCGTCTTTGGTAAGGACCAGGATAGATTTGTGCAACGTTGCATGAAAGATCTTACCCTACGTTTGGCTGCTGTATATAGGCACAAGGATGTGTAGGAGCTGCTCATCCATAGCAATCAGCAGAAAGCAGGAAAAGGGGAAAAACTAACATATGCTTCCTGAAGAAGATATTACACTGGCTAGGACTGCAGCCACCGTGCCTCCCTGTTAGCATCAATGGTGCTAGGAAGAAAGCCTTGCTCCTGTGAAAGTGCTGCCTCAGGCTCAATATTACCCTGTTTAGAGCAAGTGTATCTTCTAGGTTTGCCCTCAAAATACTCTGGCAGACTTGCTGTGGGCTTGGAGATGGAAATTCAACCCTTGCTAAGCAGAAAGGGAGCCACATCCAGGGGTCTGCCAAGAACCACCTTGACCACTCCGCTGTTGAGGTTCCTCCGTCGTGCAAACTTCTTCTTGTGAGTGAGTTAACTGAGTCTGCCAAGGGGTTTGGAGAGAGCTCTGAGCTGTGGGCACTACCACAATATAGACAATCCATAACGATGATATCTCATTCCTGGCAATGTACGCAGCCTCCTACAGCTATGCCAGGATATAGAGAAAAAAAACATTTCTTTACCAACCTCTGCTCAGATTACATCCTGCAGCGTGAATGTGATTGCCCTCACACCATTATCTGAGCCTGCATTGCTGCAGATGTTAGCAATAGGGATTGGCTCGAGCATCTCATTTTTCATCCAGGCATTGCTTTCCCTGCGCTCCCAGAGGCATTTGGATAGGGCGTTTTGGTCCCTGTCCATTTCTAGTTATTAAGGGTTATGCTGCTCTTTGAAAAACTCCCCTCTCTTGTTATTTGTCTTCCTGAGGTACCGGATACCAAGGCAGCCTGTGTCACTGTGAGAAAGAGAGTGTGCTTTTGTGCCTGGACTGGATTGATTTCCACTTCTATTTAAGAAAGAGGTGTGACCCTTACAGCTTGAATTATTCCGTGATCCTATGATCAGTTTTCATTACAATCACTATTACTTGCAAGGCTTCAGACAAGTCTCTCTCTCTGCTCCTTTCCAGGCTGAGCAACTCCAAGCTAAACAGTCAGTCAGCAAAATTAACCATTATTTCCCTTCAGTAAATGCTGTTTACAGTTTGTAAGGCTGACACTCACCTGCTGCTTCCAAGAAGTCGTCGTACTAGAGGGAAGCAATTGCCCAAGTGGTAAACTGGGTGACCCAAGAGCTCTTTTTTATCCCTAATTTATATGAACATGAACATAAGCCTGAAAAAAATCGAGAAGGGAAGAAGTACCCAGGCACACTGACTGCTGCTATTCATTTTCCAGGACGCTGAAACATTTATCTAAGGGATTTCATTAAGCTTTCCTACCCATGCCTGCATTTATAAATATTTCTATTGCCCAGAGGTCTTGGCAATAACAGTAATGTAGCTAAAATTGCCTTAAATCTGCAGCGGGTTAGGCAGTTCTTTGTAATGTGTTAAGCTGCTGTGAGCGAATCGGCACTGGATGGCCCCAAAAAAGATGAAGTGCCCTTTACCATTTGGTTGCAGTGGCTCTCACCCACCCTTCGCTGCTGGCGCAAAGGCTGGAGAGATTTCCATGCAAAACAAGAGCCAGGGAAGCCTGCGTCATTAACAGCTGGATGATGACTGGTGGGAATGGTGTGGAAATAGGCAATATGTGTATTTGGGGACACGTATCTCCTCTGCAGAGGGTGCTAATGAGATGACGAGAGCTCTGTACAGTTGGAGGTGTGGTACAGAACACCTCCAGCCAGCAGAGATGTGCTGGTACATCCCCAAAGAATAGCACAGCATCCTGAGGATATTAACGTATTAATAGCTGTGTTTTACGCGTCCTTCTTTATACAGCTCCAACGAGTTTTCAACACCTTTTGCAGATCTTCTACTGGCAGAAGACAGCCCAAGCAACTGATACTACACAACTGTGTGGCTCTCCGTTATTGCTTTTTCATATCCTTGTAGCAAATATTATCCTTCCATCTGTATAGACAAGTGCAATGTTTTTTCAACAGGCCTCATAGTGTAGGGATATCACTTGCCTGGCCAGGTGGAGCAAAACTGCAATCATAGAATCACGGAATGGTTTGGGTTGGAAGGAACCTCAAAGATCATCTAGTTCCAACCGCCCTGCCATGGGCAGGCACACCCTCCACTACACCAGGTTGCTCAAAGCCCCATCCAACCTGGCCTTGAACTTCTCCAGGGACAGGGCAGCCACAGCTTCTCTGGGCAAACTGGTCCAGTGCCTCGCCACCCTCCCAGTGAAGCATTTCTTCCTTCTATCTAATCTAAATCTCCCCTCTTTCAGTTTAAAGCCATTGCTTATTGTCCTATCACTACACACCCTTGTCAACACCCCTCTCCAGCTTTCTTGTAGCCCCTTTAGGTACTGGAAGGCTGCTAGAAGGTCTCCCAGGTATAAGGTATCCCCCTCTTGAGGGGCTGGAGCTGTCTTGGTCTCTTTCAGAGATTTTTGTTTGATGAACCCTGATGTGAATTGTGCGTTACTTTTAAATACAAACAGTCGTGGTCCTTTTTCCCACCTATAGGATTGAATATTGGGCTTGAAATAGTGGATAACAGATCTGTTTGGGATGGCCTGTGGTCTTGGAAGGGGGATGTCACCGATAGCCAGACACACTGGTAACCCAAGTGCATTGCCCTGCACCTTGAATGTCTTCTCTGTGATGGGGAGCAAGGCCAAGAGCTATGGCTTTCTGCGTGACTCAGCCATGTTTCTCATGGAGATTTGAGTCAGCAGTACCTCTGTTACTTTTTTTTTTTTTTCAGAGCAAACAGGGCTTGTGGTTGTTACTAACTAAACACATGAAGGTTTCAAGCTTAGCTGAACACGCTTGCCCAGACACCCACTCTGCTATGACAGCTGCAGGTAAAACATCCCCTGAGCAAACACCTCTATGTAGGGAGCCTTGTCTTAAATTATCTGTCCCACACGTGACGCGCAGAGCTGCAGCAGAGGAACTGCATCGCCGGAAGGATGGGGAAGATTCCAGCATCACCTCAGCAAGCTGAGCTTGAGCCATGTGGCCGAATGCTCCAGCCCTCCTGATGCTCTGCAGATGCTTTACTGAGTAAGATTAGAGGTAGTCAATTAATTAAATTTAAGCCTGATGAAGCTCATCTCTGAAAGATGGTTAGTGCCATGTTCATTCTTGAGCATGCCAAAGCTTTTCTGTACCGAGGGAGGTGCTGGAAAGGAACAGGGAAGTGTTAGGAAATGGATGGGTGGCATGTGGGTTTTTTTGGCTTGCAGAAGTGCTGGCGTCAGGCTAGGGTTACAGTGTTTGAAAGCTGTTTGTGCTGAAGAAAACATGAGATTTCACCTTTTTAGCAAATCAGAGCATGTAGTGCAGCAGCCTGTGCAGCTCACAACCCACTTCTGACTCTCTGCACCGTAAGGCCACATCTGGGCAGGCAGATGTCAGTGCATGTCCCTTTTGTGCCAGCTGAAGACAAACCAGCTCCGGCTCTGAAACGGCATGGTGACATTAACATGGCTCAGATCCTGAGCCCAGAAGCCAACTTCTCAGCAGCCCTCAGCTTACCAGCTCAGGCCCTGACATCCCTCGTGTAGCATATGGACCAAGTTGGCTGACATCTGGTCAGCAAAGCAAACGGGAGTAGCAGATGGAGGAGGGTCAGCGCCTTCCCATCACAGGCACTTCCCAAAGCGGGTATGTGCGTGTTGGTTTGTCTGTCTTTGCAGTTACTAATACATTCTTGTTGAATAATGCTTAGGTTAAATCACTGATTCTTCCACAAGAGATGCATTTTGCAGAAATTGCATCTGCGGTTTTCACGCAAGGTCCACAGTTCCTCTGGGAGTTGGTGCAAGATTTCACAGTTCATATCTTTGTTCTCAAGGCTTATCTCTAAAGACACTGAGGAACAGGTTAAACAAAACTTCTACAAATGGCAAGGGATGGTTTCCCTGGCTACACAGTGCTCTCCTTTCCTCTACTCTGCTAAATACACTACAATAACACAAGGGTCCCAGCTCTGAATCTGTAAAGTCAATGGGAGTTTATCTTTGTGTTTCAGTGGGAGCGTGATCAAAGCCCCAAATGCTTCTTGACTTGACACCAGAATCTGTTATCACTCCATTTCTGAGCAACAAAAATGACAAAATTACCGTACCTGTCCCCATTTTTGTCCAGCTGCATCTCCTCAGTGGTGCCATTGGATCCAAAGACAGTCATGAAAATACTGGCATCAGTACCGCCGCTTTCGATGTCTCCAGTCGCAACCGTGACTTCGTAGAGGACCTGGTGAGGATTTGAACAATCAGAAGGTCTCATTCGAACAGCTGTCCTTAACCCATGCAAAAGCCTAGGTAAAAGGCTAGGCAGAATCTGTGGGAGGTCTACTTCTTTGCCAGAAGTTGTCACAACACAGCTTTTTTGGGTTCTTTCTGCACTGTGGTTCTTGGAGGTGAAGTTAGAAATTGACACTTGCTATAGGACCTTCCTCTTTGCTTAATCTAGGACTTTTTCTGCATGTTTTCTCAGCCTACATAGAGAGAGACACATCCATTTTGACAACCACATGCTTGGGGAGCGATGAAGACCTGGTAAAATGCTACTCCATGGGAGTCACAACCCCCACGCCAGTGTGTGGGTCTCCAGCCCTCTGCTACTGGCATCTCCTCCCAGCCACCTCCCAGCACTCCACAGCTCCGTACTGCATCAAACTCTTGCCGCTTTTAAAAAACAGCTCCCAAAGGCACAATTATTTCTTTCCTTTGACTGTAAAATATTTCCCCCAAGTGTTCCGGGTCCATCCGGGCAACATTTTAGTCCAACATCTCTGATAGTTTTAAAGTCCATACATCCAAACACTCTGTACAGCAGAAGAATGCAGCTATCCTAGATCCCAGTGGGACCACACACTGCTGCATCAAACGCAGCGTGTTCCCAGATCTTGCATGTTAAAGATATGCCAATTTGTGAAGAGATATTTTGCATCATTTTCCCCTTATTAGCTTAACTTTGCTCTTTTCTCCTGACATGTGAATAATAAGATTCAGAATAAAATACTTCAAAAGCGTGCAACTCCCAGTGGCTGCCAGTGGCATTAAGACTTTTAGACCACTTAGATGCTTTCGAGATCGTACCTATGGTAACAAGCCCTCTGGATTTAAGAGGTGGAAGAATATCAGGAAACAGCCCCAACAAAACGTATTTCAAATAGTGCACTGCTAGGCAAGTTTTATTGACCTGAATTGTGATTGCCATGTAAATAAACAGTGCAAAAGAATAATGCCATGGAAAAAAATTATTTCTCGTGTTTGGTCGATCCTGAGTGACCTGTCCATCATATATTCATTCACACACATTTCAAAAAATAGCAGAGCATCATATTTGCTCCATATTTAGGAGAAGAAAAACTTACAAATACATTAAACCTTTTAATGACTGTGGTGGACATTAACTAGTTTCTCTATATATGGGAAAGCAAATACTCAGTTTAAAAGACAAAGAAGGAATACCAAGCCAAGAAGAAAATTAAATGGAAATGGGCATGTATGGCTGTGCAAGACTCAGGCAAAAACAAAACCAAAAAAGCATTAACTTTCCCCACACTATTAAAGGTATTAGTCTTTTTTGAACTCTAAAAAAAAAGAAACTGCGTTTCTAACTACAGCTATTTAGGAGGGAACAGTCCCAAATTTCCTCAACTAGGAGACTGATCAGAAAGTCAAACGAGCACTTCTGATTTCACATCTCAAGCAACTTCCCTGATTTCTTTCCAACCTTTCAGCAAGTTTTTGGCCCAACATCGTAGAAAAAAATTTAGTTAGATGCGTCTATTTTTGGCATGTTTATGAAAATAAATATTCAGGATTGGGCTTTTAAAGGAAGACAGAACATGGGTCTTCATTGACATCCACTTCTATCTATGGGCAAGCCATCAGCTCACCAATAGGAGTCTGGAAACTTTATCCAGGAGGTTAAACATCTGATGGGAAGTTTTTAAGAGATTAGGTTTTAACTGTGGTATTCAGTCTGAGGGAGTTTATTTCCTTTCTTAGCTCAATTCTACACCACCAAAACCTGTGTAGAGTTGTCGAATCCTTCACAGATGCTAAAAATGTTGTCACACTTTTGTGTGTCTAGGGAACAAAAAAGATTTCAGGAGAAAATCTATAGCTTGGGAATCAAGAGCAGCATAAGCAAAAGTTAGTGTCTTATGAAAGTGTAACCTCACTGTAAATAGAAATACATCTATAGAGATTTTAAATTGCCATACAGGTATTAAACACAGTATTATTATCCCATTAATCCAGACTGTTACTTCTGTTGTAAATCTAACATCCAAAATCAGCATAGCTCAGCTTTTCAATGTGTACTTGGTTGAAATATGGCATAGCACACATTACTTCAAATTTCATATATATGGATGAAAAGACTATATAGTTTTTTTTTTCATTGCTTATTCAACTTTAATCAGTTATTCATTTCAAAGATCAAGCTCACAAATGTTTCCATTTTTCAACAACTTGCTGTTATTGTTAGTTTCTAACTGAATTCAGTTTCCTACCCTGTGTTAGAAAATATGATATGTAGCTGCACTATGCGAAGATTAAAATATCTCCACTACTGTTATTTGACGAGTTAGAAGAATCTCCTCAAAGGAAGCACAGTGGAGTTAGATTACATGAAGGTGTTCGCCTTCCAGCTGCCCCCACTCTATGTGTCCCAGGTGGTGCAGTGGGTGCTCCAAATGTGGTGACAAAATGAGGACACGCTGCTGAGCTGTCTCCTACCTACTCTGCCCCACCCTGTCCTTCTGCCTATGCCGTGGCTGCATCCAGTCAGCATTATTAAAGAGTGCTCCAAGTGGTAATGGTGCTAAACCATTCCTCGAGATTTTGCTAAAGAAACAACAAAGAAATCACCTGCAAGTAAAAGGCTCAAACCACATGCAGAAGTCAAAGTACAAGAACTGCTGACACACAACTTATATCAGCACAGATCCATACAACAGTTGAAGATATAGGATGAGCCTAGAGCCTACCTTGATGCCAACATTGACACAGTCAGCATCCAGGATGTTGAGGATTCGTGAAGTGCGTCCATCACCTTTGTCTCTGGCCAGCCAGCACTTACAGACAAAGTTATACATCACGCCTTTGGTGGGCACGACAATGGTCAGCTCTTCCATCAGCCAGCAGCTCTCAGGGGTAGCACCATCATGCCCCACCTGTGACAGTCAGTGAGAAAACATCTGCTGGTTAAAGGGGATTTCTTCAGAGAAAAGACCTCGATTGGATGTTTCAACCAGTGATGGAGGACTGAGAGCGTTGACTACAAAGACCGTCACACAAACCACTTCACAGTGGAATGGAGTGAGCTGTGAAATAGTTTGTGCCATTGCTGCTCAATAGCCAAGACATCAGTGTCCATGGCAGCTGATGTGGACAAGGGAGCTCAGGTCATCAGCTGCTGAGCTTCAGGGAAGGCAGGACACTACCAATGTCAAAAGTAAGCAAGGCAGACTGGACTGATCTACATGAAAACATGTCCAGTCTCTTACTATTTTACTTCTGCTCCATTGATCTCTATCTGCTGGTTTGCTGATCTCTGCAGACCTATTCTTCCATCTTTCCAACCCCTTCCATGACCATTGCAACACTTGGAAGTGACTATCCAAAGCCTCATAACCAGGATGCAAGATGCAGCTAGACAAACACCCACATGCATTATTCAAGCACTCCTTCCCTCAAAAAAACCACATCTAAGTCAACTACATGTATCAGGCTGTTTCTCTGCTTCCCATCTCCTTAAACTGCAAAAGCTCCTTGTTTGTATAGGAGCCAACAGATGAAGCTTACATCTGTAGCTAGTTGATTTTCAAAGACCACCTCCTCCAAGCTCAAGAATGGCCCGTCCTGGAGAGCAGGAAGTCACACAAGACTAGCAGGAAGCCTGCATGGATGAACAAGGGGCTCCTGACAAAACTTAAATGGAAAAAGGAAGAATACTAGAAGTGGCAGCAGGGACAGGGGACCTGGAGAAATACAGAGACACTGCCCACATATGCAGGGAGGAGCTTAGGAAAGCCAAAGCTCACCTGGAGCTGTCTGGAAAGGGCCGTGAAGTGCAACAATCAGTGCCCTACAGGTATATCAGCAGCAAAAGGATCCTGATGCTGCAAACTTGTGCCAGAAACCGCACGTGTCCCTCTTACAGAACGTGGGTAGTTCATTCTGGGGCAGACTTTAAGCATAATTATGTATCCCAGCTGATGTCCGGAACTCAGTCAGCCAGTCATGACGATGAGCTATCCGTACATAAAAGGTTGAACACAAGAGCTACCTACAGTTCGTTGTTTTCAGAGCAAGTGTTGTTTCATAGATTTCTAGATTTCTAGAAAATTTCTAGATGTTTGTGTCATCACTAGGAAAATGAGACCCTTAGCTCTCCCTGGTTTTGTTTTTAAATTATTAGGATATTTAGGTTTGCTCAGAAAATAATTTTTAATAACGGTTTTATCTAGGGTGATATGTCTGTGGTATCTTTTTTCTACCCCCCAAAAAGTGAGCTTTTTTATCTGTCTCAGCCATCACTGCTATTAGGAGCATTATTACTATACTAATGCCTGTGCAGCTGCAGAAAATTAGAGTTAACCACTAGGGAAATTCAAGTCTACAATGGATGCATTAATTCTCAGATTCCTGGGGTGTGAGGTGAATGGGAATATAACACTCAGCTTCCCATTCCCTCTCTGCCAGCTTGGCTGCCCTTCACCAAACCCAAAGCTCCTCTGAGAGTCTGCACACAGCCTCTCGAGACTTGTTGCAGGATGGTGCAGATGAGGCGGTGGGGAGAGTTCAGGGCAACAGCTCTGCAGTGAAGCAAGGACAGAGCAGCTGGAGGGACAATCCCAATGAGCCCTTTAAAGCCTACTGCTCTTTTGGGTTCATTACAGCCAACTCCTAAGACATCATTCTAAGACATTGCTAGGTACCAGATTTTCACAGCAACCTTTAACTCCTTTGGTATCAGAGACAGGCCAGAAGAAAGCATCCTGCACATCGAGCTGCCTTGGAGAACCTGCACAAAAGCGGAGTTCCAGGCGCTCCAAGAACAATGTTGTAAAATCTGGGACAAACTCAGCTAAAATCTTTGTCACTCATTCCAGCTGTCCTTGAGGGACTCCTGAGTACGTCACATCACCAAGATAAGATGCACAATTTGCACTGGGCAGGTCATGATCACACTGAAACCAAAAGTAACAACAGGGGAAAATGGGAGAGAATTTGAGTGACAGATAGAAGGAAAAGATGGTAAAAAATGGGTTTTCTTGCTTATTCTGGAAGGTGCAGAGAATACTAGACAGACCTGAGGGTCTTCCAGGATCAGGTCCTAGTCAGTGAGGTACTAGACTTGCAACACTTTGCACTCCATCACGCTTTACTCTGTGCTTGTGATGGAGAACCAGAAGTGGTTTAGAAATGCAGACCAATGCAGGACTCTTCTGATCATGCCTGTGTCTCTCTGCAGAGACAGCAGTCTAGGAACAGGGATACTTCATAGAATCATAGAAACGTAGAAGGGTTTGGGTTGGAAGGAACCTTAAAAATCATCCAGCTCCAAACCCACTGCCATAGACAGGGACACCTTCAACTAGACCAGGTTGTTCAAAGCCTCGTCCAACCTGCCCTTGAACACTTCTGGGGATAGGGCAGCCACAACTTCTCTGGGCAACCTTTGCCAGTGCCTCATCACCCTCAGAGAGAAAAATTTCTTCCTTATATCCAATCTAAATCTCCCCTCTTTCAGTTTAAAGCCATTGCCCCTTGTCCTGTCACTACACACCCTTGTCCAAAGCCCCTCTCCAGCTTTCCTGTAGGCCACCTTTAAGTACTGGAAGACTGCAATAAGATCACCCCAGAGCCTTCTCTTCTCCAGGCTCAACAGCCCCAACTCTCTCAGCCTATCCTCATAGCAGAGGTGCTCCAGCCCTCTGATCATCTTCGTGGCCCTCCTCTGGACTCATTCCAGTAGCTCCATATCCTTCTTGTGCTGGAGACTCCAGAGCTGAATGCAGTATTCCAGGTGGGGTCTCAGGAGAGCAGAGTAGAGGGGCAGAATCACTTCCCTCGACCTGCTGGCCACGCTCCTTTTGATACAGCCCAGGACACAGTTGGGTTTCTGGGCTGCCAGCGCACCGTGCTGGCTCATGTTGAGCTTCTCATCCACCAGCACTCCCAAGTCCTTTTCCTCAGGGCTGCTCTCAATCCATTCTCCACCCAGCCTGGACTTGTGCTTGGGATTGCCCTGACCCACGTGCCGGACCTTGCACTTGGCCTTGTTGAACTTCATGACGTTCTCACTGGCCAATCTCTCCAGCCTCTCAAGGTCCCTCTGGATGGCATCCCTTCCCTCCAGCATGTCCACAACACCACACAGCTTGGTGTCATCTGCAAACTTGCTGAGGGTGCACTCGATCCCACTGTCCATGTCTCCAACAAAGATGTTAAACAGCACTGACCCCAGTACTGACCCCTGAGGAACACCACTCGTCACTGGCCTCCACGTGGACATTGAACCATTGACCACAACTCTTTGAGTGTGACCATTCAGCCAATTCTTTATTCTCCGTATGGTCCATCTGTCAAATCCATTCCTCTCTAATTTAGGGCCAAGGATGTCCTGTGGGACAGTGTTTAATGCTTTGGACAAGTCCAGGTAGATGATGTGCCTGAGCAACTGACATCATCTACCTGGACTTATCCAAAGCATTTGATACTGTCCCACATGACATCCTGATCTCTAAACTGGAAAGACGTGGTTTTGATGGATGGACCACTCAGTGGATAAGGAAGTGACTCGAAGTGAACAGGTTGCCCAGAGCAGTTGTGGATGCCCCATCCCTGGAGGTGTTCAAGGCCAGGTTGGATGAGGCTTTGGGCAACCTGGTGTAGTGGAGGATTTCCGGGCCCATGGCAGGGGGTTTGGAACTAGATGATCTTTGAGGTCCCTTCCAACCCAAACCATTCTATGATTCTATGTCAGTTGCTCTTCCCCTTATCCACCAACATTGTAACCCCATCATAGAAGGTCACCAAAATCATCTTTTAAATTTCATTCATTAGGAGAAGAAATATTAAAACTTAATTTAAGAACACAGTACAAAGTGCTTATACCAAATAACTTGTGTTATTTATTTTCATGTCAGTGTGTGCAGTAAAGTGCACAATAGTAAATATTATATCCGAGGGCTTACAAGACAGGTATAAATGAGCCCCTTTCAAATTACTTCATGTTCCACTGTTTCTGCTTTCACTATGGTAAATTTGCAACAGAGGAACAAGGCCAATCTGAAAGTGGTATCACGCTGCAGATCTCACGATCCTACAAAATCTTGCAGTCTGCTGCCTGGGTTGTACAGAGGGCTTCTGGAAACTTAATCCCCATGCTATGCTATTTTCACACGGTAACTCATATTCAGAACTTTTTGCCTTTTTCCAGAAGCAGCCAAATGCCAAATCTAAGAACGAACTGTTCATCATTTTTCCCAAGAAGATAAATAGCAATTTTCTGCAATGTCCCTGAACACTGCAATTTTCTGCAAGGAAAATATGGACTGATGCCATGGCAACCGTGGCAGACTGGCACATCGATGTCATCGCTGGGACGTGCATCAACAAGAAGAGACCTTCCAAGCAGAGGGCACTGCATGAAGGAAGGCAGAAGGCCAGGAGCAGATGACTCCTCTAGCCACGAGCTGCCAGGTTACGAACTGAAAGGGAAAAATGAGCAAGAGGTGAGATCACTGAGGACTCGGGTGAAAGAGTGCAGAAGACCACGACCCAGCTTGAAAGCTATGTGTTACTTCTTTTTCTAACTCTCTGCATTTCATTTGCAATCTTTTCTCTCCTGTTTGTAATCCTTTTCCAATTATTTTTTCCTTACTTCTGCCTATTTCCAAGTGTCTGCTCCTACCTTCTCCTATCCCCTACCCCTTCCTCACCCTACTCACTGTCTGTTTCCCAGCCTGCCTTTCTGTTTCTTTCTCCAGCCTGTTCTTTCTGTCTCTCTGACACTGAGGGGTTATACTGCTTTTTTCCTCCCTCTCTGTCCCAGCCCATGGCTGTTTCCATGTGCACACAGTCTGGAAGAGAAGGATTTATACACTCACTTCACTTTCAAAGTTTGACCTAGGGATGGGCTAGATAGAAAGTGCCACTAATACTCATCCAAGCACTTAGAGTGCACTAAGAAAATGGTTTGATAAAAAACTCCAATCTATTATGAGGACTTCTCAAGGTGCCAGAATCTATTGGTTGAACGAAAGCTAATGAGACTGCTTCAGTCTATCAGCTGCTGCAAGAAGACATACAACTGCAAAGATTTTTTAATTAGTTAGGATTTCTCTTTTTATACTTCTTTCATTCTCCTCCCTCTGAATTCACAAGCACACACACCAACAGGTAGGTTCACTGCAACACAGGGCATGGGGTAGAAATAAAATCAAATAGGATCTTGAGGTCCTCAGGTGCTGTGGTTTTCAGCTCTTGGGAGCTGGAGCAGGCTTTCAGGAGTTGGAACTGCCATATGAAACAAGAATGATGTACACAAACATATTGGAAGATTCATGTAAAGTATAAGCTCAGTGATGGAAAGTCTATGCAAATTCTGTCTCCCTGAGCCATAGCAGAAAAAATGGCCCCTGTACCAAAATCTATTTGTGCATGTTACTTATGAACGATGATTAATTTTCTCCTCTAAGCCTGGGTCCTCCAAGCTGTGAAAACAATTTTCATATTTAGCTAGAAAATTACACAAGATGTGTTTCTCATTGCAGGCACAATTTATGACACCCGGCTGGAAGTAGTGTAAAAATCAACTAGGAGAAAGACTGATGGAAGGCTGCATCCTGGAAACTTTCGCTGCATCTGTCAATAACAGGGCTTGACTAAGAGAAAAACAGCGCCAGGTATGGCACAAAACTGGGACATATTACAAGTTCCTTATAATTCAAAATTATCTTCTGCCTCTCAAGGATCTTGGTTTCGCCAGAGTTATAGCGTACTTATTTTCAGGGCCAGACACATGTGAAATCTCATTAGCACACCCACGTTTACATTCCTTTTAGACCCAAGTGCCTTTCCTTCTCTACTAAGAATAACAGGAACATGTGCTTTCTCTGGCCACGTATTTCAGATGCTTCCAGTGCTTGCCCTGCGTTCACAAAGTACCTCCACTTTTTTGATCTCCCCGACGTCTAGGCCCCAAACAGAGAATTTCTCCACAGAGCCATCTGCAAACTCGTCTTTTCCTTCTGGGAGATCCAGCCACAGCCTCTCCGTCTGCACTTTCTGAGGACCCATGATGATGATGTACACTCGGCTGTCCGTGCTGGAGTCATATTCTGTGCCCGTTGTGACGGTGATGTGGTACGGGATCACTGCAACAAACAGAGGTTTAGTCACCAGAAAACCCCCACACATACACGTTTAAGTGGGATTTCAGAAAACCAGGGACTCATCCCATCAGAGAGAGCAGTTGTGCATGCTAAATAGGTTCACATCCCATTGAACTCATTCGCAGAAGGGATAACACCATGCTGCCCTGGGCTACAAACGTGCGTGGGAGACTGCTTTCTAAATAGGTTCACATCCCATTGAACTCATTCGGAGAAGGGATAACACCATGCTGCCCTACTACATGAGACTACTTTGCCATACACACTTGGGACTGAATTCTGCAAGGGTTAATTTCCCCAGGCAACCCTGCAGGCTGCAAGGACGATATAAGTCCAGATTTCTCCCTAACAGACGACAGAACAGCAAAGGTTTTGAATCCTTATTTACACCGAGACCTTCCTGAAGACGAGACTGGGTACTTAAATCTTAAGTAGGCTATTAGACTGAAGCGGTCTTACACCAGCCGTTCAATAAAGGCAAATAAATCTGTGCTGGGTCCAAGGTAAACCATCACTGACTGAACATCCCAGTGCGACTGCAGGTGTTCTCTTTTGTGCCTCATTCAAAGATTGCTGTGATCTACGGGGCAGCTCAGGGTTTCGGCATCCCTTTGCAAAACCAGGCAAACGACACGTAAACATGCTTCGTATTAAATGTAGGTCACGCAATAATTTTGTATATTGCATAAGGATAACAGCCTTCGGGACAAGGCTTGGGACTTAGCAGGTTTTTCCTGCGGTTTTCAGAGATTTCAGTTCAGCTGTTAAAAGGGTGGAAGTGCCAGACTGCTTTTCAAGTGCTTTCCAAAAGCTCATTTGGGTAAGTCGAGCGGGCGGTGCAGAATTAGACGCTGAATACTCGTTTGATTTCCCAGAACATTTGTGCAGGGCTGTTCAAACCGTTCTGACAAGACTCGGAGCTCTGAACCTTTCCTCATCACAGACTCGAAACTCAGCCTGGCTTCATCATCTCTTTTTTGACTTAAAAAAAAAAGGAGATTTATAAACCTTGATGAAAAACTTAGTTGGTTTCAAATCACCCAGGATTGACATCTAATTTTGCTTTATGATGACTAACAACATTTTTGGTGTAGGAGTTGTACTATGAGCTCAGAATATGTGTACAACATCAGAGAAGGCAAGAATTCTTGCTGACCAAATCTTTTCTTACCTCTGGACAGAGCAGAACTCGAAGAGATTCATTCAGCCCCAATTTGAGGATTTTGTATACCATCATAAAATAAACTGATGATTAGGCAAGACTTACTCTCCCCTTTTATGATATCATTTACATTTCAGTGTGCACATCGGCATAAAGATACGCAACGCATTCTTCACAAAATAAGCATTGGAGCTGCTGGTACTAGCAGAAGAAAGGGTTTAGCTGTAGGAAAGACAGATTTTATACAGATATGTTGAGGGGTCATGTTCAGAGCAGCTCCAGAATCCTCTTTTCGATAAAGTCTATTTTGAATAGAGACAAAATTTTCTTTTATGTAGTTTTTACCCTGTTCTCCTGCGATAGTCTAAGTTCACAGAACTACCAGCGTTTCCAACTGATGTTGCATCCTCAAGCAACAAGGTACTTGAAACATCTGTGTGAAAAGTGAGAACTATGAGAAATTGTCATAATTTCCCATTTTAAATAAAGGATGCAGCGACATAGAGGAGCTTGCTACAAAACAGTAGGAAATACCGTTTGCTGCTCTTTCCTCTAAAAACTAGAAAAGTGATCCTTCAATTTGTCTGTCTCCCCTCTCCACTGTCTCCTTCTTTCTCTGTGACTCCATAGTTCTATTTCTTCAAACATAGGAGAATGTAAAACCTGAGGTACGTGGCCACAGCAGGACAACACAGGTCCTCCAGCCCGTCTCCTTTTGCCCCCTGTTTCCTTGAGTCTCTTCGCAGAGTTCAGGCTGTTTGATGGCACACGTCCCCCTCAGAGGAGGTTGGGTTTCATTAAGGGTGTGGACCACACCATCTCCAGCACTGCCTTCCAGCATGGACTAGGGTTCCCAGTTCAGACCTAAGCAGGTTCCTAGTCAACAGGACTTTTCTTGGTGCTTCATGCTCACGTCCATCTCCTGTCTCTCAGAGATATTCCCCATCTGAGCATGGGACAGTCAGAACTGGGCTGCTCAAAGTGTCATTCCTTTTCCCAGGCACCTCCCAATACCTCTTCCCCTAATCAACTAATTAACAGCTGTTTTTTTATCCAGCTCAGGAGGTGGCTGCCTAGCTCACACAGTCCATCTTTATCCAACATTCCTTTAAGTGACAGCTTCCTTAATGAAGCCATGTCACTGCAACAGAGATAGTGGCGATGACAAGCTCCAGGACTCAGAGAAGAAAGACCACCCTGGCACAATGGGGATGATGGGAACTATCCCGGCTCTGCTGGAGATGGGTTCTCAGGGGAGATGCTGATCTTTTACCCATTATTTGTGAAACTACATGGAATGTCAACATTGCAGATGTTATCCATTGTCTTGCCACAGAAGTAGTATCAGAAGGAACATGGGAATTGCTTATTTTGCATTTCAACACAATATGAGATTACAAAAGAAGGATTGTCCCGAGACACATGGGTTGCAGACTAGGCTAAGCGATGTGCAGCGTTATGTTTGCTTCACAACTTAAAGGTGTGGAACATGCAACCCAGGTATCACATCACAACAAGCCACTGGGCATCAGCTGAGCTGCAGTGACCATTTGTGTGAGTTCCCTCGGACCATGTCACTGAAAGCTATCTTAAACTCCTCAGCCAAATTACATCATTTTACGCTTGGCTTACCACGGAAGTCTAAGATAAGTTTAATTATTTTGCACTTGCTGTGGACTAAGAGCACATATGCAGAGAGTAACTGTGACTCAGCTGCTGCCCAGTTACTTGCTACAACACAGTATCTTAATCACACATCTAAAATCTAAATCTAAAACTAGAAGACTCTGTGTAGGACAATGACAAACTGTAGGTGCAATTTAGACCAGAAGTCTTCATTCTGAATCACAGAGGTGGTTAATCAAAAGATACGTAAGTACAGAGGGAAAAAAGAAGCCTCAGTGGTAAAGAAGTTATAAGGAAATACTGGTGGACTGGGGAAGTTTTCCACCAAGGTTAACTTCATCTGGTGGACACTGATCTTCCAGGCTTCATTCACAGCCATGACAGAAACAAAACCTGCACAACTTTCCCACTTCGTATCGGACACAGTCAAGCAAGACTAGCCTCCCTGCACGAAAGCTGGCCTTTACAGACACAGCCCAGCATAGTTCACTTTTTATAACTTGCAATCCAGAAACAGATTTTTCTTTTATATTCAACTCTGCTTTGTCTCAGGAACCAGAGCATAAAAATGAACCTCTACACTACAGCCACCAACTGTTTCCATCAGTTATTTGAGCAAGAACTTCAGCCTAGAGTTCATGGACTCTCTGTCTTTCAGTGGCAGCATTTGCAGACCCTCCTCTCCTGCCCAATTATAAGACCATTCACCTTCCAGAAAAGGACAAACTCGCCTGAGTGCTCCCATCTGAAACTTGTTTTCTGAGAGCCGAGAGACTTATCTGAGCTCTTGCTCAGCTCCCTGTATCCCACTCTCCTCCAACCCAACATCTGTTGTGATGCAGCTACATGTTGTAAGGAAAAAATCTGGAGGGTTCTAAAATAAATCACATTTAAATTCATATTAAACAAACATCCTCAGTGATGAGGCACTACTAGTCTGATCCTGAAAAGGGGAGATGCCTTAAGCGTGGCAAATAAGGTCTTGGGAAATTCAAAGCCTTCTTTGGTAATTCAGATCTAACATGCTACATGAAACATCATCTTGAGTAGGTCAAAGAGATACAGGAAAAAAAACCAAACAAACAGCTGCTATCAGAAACAGGAGCTACTTTATGGAATCATGTGGAAAAGAGCCTCTGATTACCCAAGGGAGGCTCTTTTGGTGATAGCGTGTCTGACCACAGTCCCTCTTACTGCAAAGATCTTTGGATCCTTTGAAGGACACTTCAGAAAAAAATTATACAAAACTCCCATAAATTCTTCCCTTAACTCTGTCAGACTCGGCTGTCCAGAAGGTAGGTTCACTTCTCCCACCTCTGAAGTGCTGTCTGCAAGGAGGTTGTTGGTGGAGGAGGAAGGAGTATGATTCTTTAGGTCAGTGGATTTCTTGCTGAGCAGGCCCTATGGATGTTGTCAACTTTTCTTCCACATTTGGTGGTGTGGATACACTCATCTAACTTTAGGCATCTAAGGGACAGGATTTAGGATTGTAATTGTCTGTAGAGGTACCCTGTGCCTTTTACCTCACCACAACAGAAAGCAGTGTACCCTTGAACAACCACCTACCTAATGATACAGTCACATAGAATCATAGAATAGTTTAGGTTGGAAGGGACCTTAAAGATCATCTAGTTCCAACCCCCCTGCCATGGGCAGGGACACCCTCCACTACACCAGGTTGCTTAAAGCCTCATCCCTCCTGGCCTTGAACACTTCCAGGGATGGGGCAGCCACAACTTCTCTGAGAAACCTGTGCTAGTGCCTCACCACCCTCAGAAAGAAGAATTTCTTCCTTAGATCTAATCTAAATCTCCCCTCTTTCAGTTTAAAGCCATTGCCCCTTGTCCTATCACTGCACACCCTTGCAAAAAGGCCTCTTCCAGCTTTCTGGTAGGCCCCTTTAGGTACTGGAAGGCTGCTAGAGGGTCTTCCCAGAGCCTTCTCTTCTCCAGGCTGAACAGCCCCAACTTTCTCAGCCTCTTTTCATAGCCCTCTCATTATCTTTGTGGCCCTCTTCTGGACTGGTTCCAACAGCTGCATGTTGTTCTTAAACATTATCCAAAGCACTACACTATTTGGAGACCTTACATCTGCTGGCAACGGAGAAGTTAGTTCTGACAAACTACAGCATCATAGATTTCCACGGGAGAGAAGGAAGAGGGCTGGAAACACTGAAGTTGCTGTGGGCTTCATGGCTTATTCCTCTGTTAGCATCAGAGAGCTACAGGAAAAGCAACAAACACAAAAACACAAGCACTGGTCCTATCTTTCCCAAAGTGGTCACACCACCTGCTGAAGAGAAGCGATTTGCTGTTCTGCCTCTCTTTGCCCTTCACCAGGACGAACGCAACCTCTAAAGCACTGAAAGCCAAGGACACACGCATGCGTGCAATCAAACACGGTGCTGGCTTACGTGATCCTTCTTCTGCCGCCTTCACCAAGCGGGATTTTTTGGTCTCCTTCATGTTTGCATTGCTGTCCTGACTCGACAGGCTGAGAGACGAGCCATCCAGGCTGTTTCGCTCACCGTCGTAGCTCTAGTTGGAAGGCATGTATGGGAGGGTAATGAGGTTGAGTGCTCAAGTGTTGTCAGCTGTTCCCATGTGCCTCCAAGAACAACATGGGCAGAAATCCCTCTAGTTCCCCAGGTAGCTTTTGGCTCAGTGTAGCTCAGATAAATGTGACCTGTAATTTACTGCAGGTCGTTCATTTACTTCATTGGTAACCTTGACAGGCCGTTTTGGACGTGTGTTATAATAAAAGAAAACATAATGGACCTAACAGACTTTAATGGTGTGTTGTGACTTTTTCTCTGCTGCCTGTGTAAGCAGTAGCCACAGAAAATTCGGGCAGATGGAACGGTGCCAGATTTGCTTGTCAGGGCTTCTTTGACTGTGAAGTCAGAGTAATGCACCTGGTACAGGTCAGAGAGCATGAGAGGGAGCGTGCTGCAAAGCTGAATGACACGAAACATCTATTGTATTTGAGGAGTTACTGCAGATGCATTCAGTGTCGTTGTTCAATAAATGTGAGGCTCTTATCACACTGTCACTTAATTAAAAAAAAATAATTATTAGCTTGTCCTCATTATGAATTGATATGAGCAACAGGGTAAGTGTGACCACAAGCACTTGTAGCATTGTCTGCTGCAATTATATGTGGGAGCATATGGCAATACGCATCCAAGGTGTGACTCTTCTTACATCCATTCTGTTATATTCAGGCTGAGTCTGGCCCAATTTCATTGGTGATAATGAAACTGATAATAAAACAGATGATAACTGTCAATTAAAATATCATTGTATTTTGCAGAGTGGGCTCCTTCGATACAATGGACTTATAGTCAGCTGCTTTTCTCACCGTACAGAAGCAAAAGAGGTCTATTAATCTTGTTTGCTAATTTTAATTAGTGTGTATACCTCAAATTCCAATTAACTTTATTAGCCTAATACAGCAGTAGAGAATGCGGAAATAGAAAGGGCATTTCACTAAAAAACATTTGGTGCTTTGAGTGGTACCAAATAGACGAGACTTGTTATGTTCAGAGAGAGAAGGAGCTGAAAAGATAAACCCATCCAGTCCAGTGAGAGTGAAGTTAAAGGACTCAATATTCTGGCTCGAGGACTTTGAATATCGTGGGCACAGCAAGCAGAGCAGCAGGGAAATGTACTCTGCAGTGCATCAGCAAGGTACTTTGGCTCTCAGCTGAAGAGTTTCGCTTAGAGACCTTGATTTTTCTGTTGAAATTGCAAATTACAGAGCTGGTGATATTGGGCTGAGAGTGGCCACACTTTCAGCACTTGCCTGAAAATCATGAGTGCATTTTGGACAAGCCAAAAACCCATAAGTCTCTAATGAGCTGTCTTGGACTTCAACCAGATATTAAATAATTTTATTTTTATCAGCAGCAGCGGGTTGGGATCGCAGATCTGAGCAGTAACCGTACCTGTTCATAAAGCGTACGCTCGATCTTTTTGTCCTCTTTCTTTTTAGAGAGCCAGCGCTCACACAGGAAAACAAACGACTCCTCTGTGGTCTCATCCAGGATCTCCACTTTTTCCAGGAACCAGTCAGGACTGAACATGCTATTGTCATGACGAATCTTGATCTTGTACAAAATGCCAAGGTCCACAGCCTGTACAGTAAACGTATCCTCCTGCAGAGTGTTCAATTACAGTTGCTTCTGTTAACGAGCTCTCAACAGATCATCTACTGGACAAAAGCAAATGGAGACTACAGAGCGAAGTACGTGTTGAAGTTCCGTCTCACATGACGGTGCTTGGCTACGAGCTTTGCAGCAGTCCACAGAAGGCATCTCCGTAAACTAGAACTGTTCTGCAGGGAAGCGTTTTGAAGCCTGCTGCTGCTATGAGGGCAGCTGCACAAAGTGACACTTTTGCAATCAATTGACACCTGTGCAATCAATTGACACTTTTGCAATCAATATTGAACTCCTGGAATTTTACATCCTGATTTTTAAGCCTAAGTAAGACTTCTCCTTCTAATCCAGTTAGATTTTTATGGACAATCCAGATAAAACAACCTTTGCCATCACTACATCTAAGTATCTCCGCACAAGGCTGTGAATATGACTCATGGACTGACCGCCGAGTACCACTTTTGGAGTTATTTTGTCAAACAAGCACAGCCACAGTTTAGGTCCCATCAATTTATCACGCTCTGCGGTGAATTATGCACATGTAAATCAGTTGCACAGAGGCTGTATGAATGAGAGACCTCGGGTTTTGTGTGCTCTCAAACCCGCAGCGAACAATTCAAGCCAGTTTATATGGACCAAGCTCATAAATCGTTTATCAGTGACTCCACAGAAGCACCTACCCGTTTGCCGCAGTGCCTGTCAGCTGTAACACCCAGCTGACAATCCATACAAAGCATTTTAAAAGAGGCAATGAACATGGTAAATGGAATCAATCAATTCAATCCCCATAGGAAAACTCAGCCTATAAAGACAGAGATGGATCTGTCAGGTTAAAGACAGAAATCAGAAAGTGTTATTAACCCGTTGCATATGTACCTGTCCTCTTTCAAACTTGTTGAAGTTCGTTTCAGATTTGCTGAGTTTTCTCTCTCCTGTATCCCCCAGATCTCCATAGATATTTAGGAAAACATTAGCATCTGTCCCAGCACCATATATATCTCCAGTGAACACGCTGATCTTGTACGTGTGAACTGCAGAAAGAAACAGAGACGTGATTTTCTGGCCAGGTGAATTATCAAGGTCTGTCTTAGGTACTGAATTTACCTAAGAAAATGGTCCCCAAGCTTTCTGCTCATCACTCAGTTCCTGGAGGTTTAAAATGCCGTATGCTTTATCCTTCCGGGCTTCTGGTAATGATCCAAAGATTGGGGAATCGCTGGGCTGAAATTTGCTGGCTTTCCTTTTCTCTATCTAATCAATGCCTGGGTATTGCTTTGATCACATAGTTCACCGTTAAAAATGCAAAGAATCGTTATGGTTATTACTGGATGCAAAGTCAATAGGGGTGAGGGAACTCAGCACCTTCTCATACTGAGGCTCGAGGGACCTACATCTGAGAACAAGTGATTCAGTGCTGTGAATTCTTAATACTCCACCTTCCATAAACAAACTCCAGGGATTTATATGTGCAATTACTACTGGAGTTAATGGCATGTATCTCTATAAATTCCCCAAACAGCAAGAGAACAGGTTTCCGAGTCCTTTTGCTGAGACTGTATTTAATTAAGGAAGTGTTGGACTGTACTTTTTAAGTACCCTTTTCTCTTTAGCTTGCTCAATGACGATCCAATAAAACCTCATCAAATCTTCAGTAATGTGTTTTACTAAACCTGTTAAATACTCCTATTTTTATTTTGCTACTCTTTTCCCAATTACACAGGGAAAACAAATAGTTACCGAAAGCATCCTTGCCAGAAGAACAACTAGGAACCGTACAAGTCTCTGATTATTCTGCTGGCATACGAACCTTGGAGAATGCCTCCTTGCAAATCCCAGGGCAATGCAAGTGAGGAAGAGGCACGAATTCTTAGTTAGGATTCTTCTTTGTATGTTAACAGCGTCAAAGAAAGTAGCTATGCTGTCTTTTTCTTCTGTACCTAGCCTTTGCAGTAAAGCATGGCCTGTTCTGCTTCATCATTCATGAAAGGTTTCCACTGATTTCTCTAAGAAATGGATCAGGACCGTCATTTGAGACCACTCATCAGGCTACGTGCATTGCCACGTTTTCTGGTTTGTCTCGTCACCTTATCTCCTACAGAGTTACAGCTTCATGTCTGAGAGACACCTGCTACATTAGTGAAGGAGGAAGCAATGCGTATAGTCTAATGCATCCCTCTAGTGTTTGCTTGCCAGTTCTAGAGACCTTCAGGACTGAAACGCAGTCCACTGTGTAAAAGATGATCCTCAGAACACCACAAGCTGCTTTTCCATTGCTGTTGTTTACACTGCGTCAGGGCCCAAGGTGTATGAGGACTCATAGAGATGCAAAATGTATAGCTCCTGTCCCAGATATTTTAAAATGGAAGTTCCCAAACTTAGCCCTAGCCAGAAGAAATCTTCAGCCATCCAAAAATCCTATTCCACAGGCTGTAAAACTTGTTTTAAGGCTTTGCCTTTAGAAGGAAGAAATTAGTCACTTAGGTTAGTTAAGACATGGTAACTAATGCAAGGTAAAGCAACAGAAGTTTGTAAACTAAAGAAAATGCCACTCAGGCATCTAGCAGTCGTGCCACTTTCTAACTGATATTAAAACTGTCTTTGCCTCCACAGGAAAAAAAAATCTCCCGTGAGCTATCACGCAGTTCCTAACAGGGGAAGAAGTACATCTGTCTCTTCTAAAGGCACAGTGCAAAGGCTCCAACACTCCTAACTGCAAAACATCTCTTCCCTTGACAATGGAAAGCGCTTGCAATCCGTAGAAATTCCACCCTGACAATGGTGTACTGTAAATGCAAACCACTCTGAGAGAAAAGAAACAGGCCGAGGAACGATTTCCTCTGTTGAATCATCTCGTTGCCAGATGCAAGAACCAAGAATGAAGACGGCGGCTGAATTCAGTTTGATCTGCTCAGGGTGTAGGAGGGTTCGTGAGTTCTCTCAAGGGCAGAAGGAGCTTGGGAAAAGGAGGTCCTAGAGGAAAAAAGAGTTAGGAGCAGCTGGACATACAGAGAAGCACCAGGTTTAGGATGAAACCTCAAACACTGAATGTGAACTCTCTATAAGATGAGCTCAGAGCTCAATAAGAATCTATTTTATTGCCCAGAGGTACTTAAATGAGGAGAGGGTGGCTGCCTAGAGCCAGTTTTTTAGAGGATGTCCATACGTACCTGAAAAGCAGCAGGAAAAACAACTTTGAGAGAAAAGAGGAGCATAAATCAGACTGGTAGGGCAGGAAAGGAAGGGGCAGAGCGCGCAGGACGAGTGAAGCTGGGCAAACGAGTGAAAATGTTTACAGAGCCTGGAAGACAAGGACAAGATGGAGGAAATTTGTTACGCATCAGAGGAGACGTGCAAACTACGCCTGTGTGAAAGGATGTCTGTGACAGGTTTAAAAATGCCCTGCAGGAAAATGACAGTATTATTGCGCAGAAGTGCTTCAGGTATAAGAGAGGCTGGAGAACATGAGGGGAAAGAAATGTGAACAGTCACACCAGCGTTGCATTTGTTTGAACCATGCATCCACACGTTTTCTTCCAAAAAATCAGACAAATAGGTCCCCACCTACTCCTAGGATTACATTACCTTCTAATGGGTCTTCAACTTCTTCTTCTATCTGCTTGAGTGTCCCGTCCTTCATGAGTTTTTCAGTAAAAATATCAGATGGTACCAGTTCTCTGACAATCTCACCATCGTCTTCAGACTTTGCAAGCCATCTTTCACATGGAAATGTGACAGTTTCCGAGCCCTGAAGTAAACACGACAGAGGTAATCTCTTCAAAACAACGTGAACGTGTGTTAGCATTTCCCCTTTGAAAAGATTCTGACATGCAGGCAAGGATTTTCAGCTCATGTATGTATGTATGTGTATGTACATGCAGACTTGAAATAGCACAAAAAATATATTTCCTCCAGAAAGAGGACATCTGAGGACTCTGAGAAGAAGCACTGAACGTGTAACAGTATTCTCAATGGCCAAGTGCCACTAGCTGTATGATCCAGTAGATCTCTGTCCTTCCCAGTTTTTGATCTTGCAAATTCCTAATCGGCACTGTTCCTGCTGAGGCCGTGTTTTACTGAGACTCTGCAATCTCTTTTCAATCCTTATTCAGCCAGCATCTCTTTGAAGTCAGTAGGGTTTTTTTTCTGAGCGAATACTTCAGGATTTTTTTCCTATAACTCTGTGACTCAAGCTGGTTTCCAGGCAATTCCCATACATGCATTAAGAGGAGAAAAATAGTGATTTAATTTTTGATCTTTTGTTTCGACTTCACTTTGGTGGAAACAAGTATGTTTTCTATCATCAAACAAACAAAAACAATAGAACATGTGTTTTCCACTTGGTAAACAAAATCAATCCCAGACTACTTATTAAGAACAGACTCCTGTAACGCCTCCAAGATGGTAAGATGGCTCCGTGTGCTGGGCACCCCAGGCTATGTCTCCGTAAAGAAACAGGCATGAGCCATCATGCAAGTTGCAGAGCCCACAAGTCTGAACAGAAAAGAAAAGTCAGTTTTAATCTCACAGTAACTAAATAAAGGAAGAAAAAAAACGGCTCTTCACTCACTGACAACTTCATCATCCTCTCCTAAGTAGCACAGAGACTTTCTGCTGTCTCCAGTACTCTCTGTGCCATCACTTCCATGTATAACACACACATGAATAGCCCACCTTAATTACTCTCACGTAATTATTTATCAAATCAATACAGGGTCCTTTCTTCACTATTTTCCTAAGTACTCAAATATTAACATATACTAAGAGAAAGCAATAGCTGTCGCTGTGACAATATTGAATATAGTTATCACTGTGTACTACGGCACTGGCTGCTGAGTCCTGCCCCCCACCCCGACACAGTCACTGGGGGGGAATCAGTCGTGTCCCTAAGATCAGAGGTGCACTCCGGTCACTGCTGACCTGGAACGAACAGGTCGTCGTGCCACCACGCACCGATCCCAGACAAGGTGATCTGCAGGAGCTGAACCCCTCCAAAGGGCCTGCATGATCAGGTGTCTTTAGTCTGCGGCACAACCATCCTTTGAACCCACACCTTCTGCTGTCAATAAAACAGCATTTCTCCTCCTCTCTTCCACTCCCTGCAGCGCTGTTGTTTAACCCCAGGTTTGCAGTGTTTAACTCTGTAAGGCGGTTTGGAGCATGGCTTGTACAGAACGGTGTCAAACAAAACCAGCAGCACTTTAGATGATTTCAAATATTTTACTTTCTAGAGTAATATGGGCTAGACAAGCAAAATGCAGCATCTAGTGACTGGCCACACCACTCCTTCCGCCTACTCGTTTCTGCACTGGCTGTCTGACCACATAACCTGTATCATCTCACTGTATGCTGAGCTGATGAACAGTGCTCATCCCCCACCTGGGCTGGGAAGAGAGGGCTCCAGTGCTGAACAGCTCTCCTCCCAGTAGAGACCTCTCACTGAAGCTTTTAACTGCTCCTAAGGTCTGACAGTGTTGGCTGTAGGTGCCGTTGATACAAACACTGTTTATTTGGTAATAGGATATCCAGGGACTTGAGCGCCTGCACAGCGGGGCATAATGTGCAGTTACTGCAAGAGTTAATTGTATCATTATTGTTAATCACCATGTCATTGCTGCAGTTTTTTATTGAAGTTTCCTTGTTAGTGATTGCATTAATATTTAAGTGACATAAAGTGCAGTGTTTTATGTTACCCACGGCAAAATCCTCTCGCAGCTCCAATCAGAATTTGTTTCATTAGAGTCTGAGTCCGGCCCTAAGCTAGAGACAGGGTACGATAGTGTGCTAAAAGTCAGTGCTTTGCCCTTCTCCAAGTTGTAATAAATGAAATATAATTATCAGATATAATTGGCATGCCAAGGCAGAGCTTTATTGGCATGCAGCAATCCTACTTTCCTACCCAAGTGCTTTCAATTTAATCTGAAAAGTTACTGACCTCATTTTTCTTTTGCAGCATTACAGATACATCTAGACACATCTTAGCAGTCTAATCAGGTAGCACAGCTTTTAGAAGCGCTGGCAGCATATTGCTATCCTGTGGCAGGTCATAATATCCTGCGGCTGATCAGCGGCATCATGCAGGGCTCTGCTCTCTTCTTTTTTCCCATGCCATAATCAAAAGATCAGCAGAATTGTAAATCTCTCCATTTTTCAGTTGTTCATGGTTTTCCTCCCTTCCTCCTTCCCAGGTTTCTCACCATCTGCCCTTCAAAGCTGCTGTAACGATTGCAGAGCCGCGCAGCTCCGAGCCCCTTTCTGGGCTAATAGAAGAGCACTCAACACGGAGCTCTTGGGACTTCCCAAAGTGCTCAGTCAACTGTAGGTGTAGGAAAAGGCAGCCCAGGAATCTTTATTCCTTTGGTTTCCATACCTTTGCACATCTCCCTCTTCATCTTCCCTTGCCTATGACCAATAACAATATCTCCAAAAGCAACATCAGCTTGCTCGTTGGCCTAATGAAGCTGTACAAAGCAAGAGTCAGTCAATACACAGATAGAGGGTCTGATAGTAACAGGTTGGCAAAAAGGTGATCATGAGAAACAAAGAGTATTGGCTTGCGAAGAAGCTTGTGCAGGAGGATACAGGCTTGAACACAATGAGGAAGGTTCAAGCCAGACCTTTGAGTCGACTGTGAGGCAAAGGGAGTAGAACATATCATGGAAATTTTGAAGGAGCATCAAGATGAGAAGTAGGTCCACGGTGACCGAGCAAGTCATGTTTACACCAACACTTGATATTAGAAGTCACTTCAGGAGGGGACAGACCTGAGCACTGAGGTGGAGGTGAAAGCTAACATCCCTTCAGAATAAGGGGAGAAAGGACAAGACAGAGGAGAGAGCCCAGGTGCTCTCAAACACAGCTACTGCTCCAATTCTGAACTGGTCCTGAAGAGGTGATTTTCTTCTGAACTCCCCTGCAGCCAGACTCATTCCTGTTCTTACAGCCAGTGTCTGAAAGCACGGCCGAGGAACAGCTTCTTTTGTGGACAAGATCAAGATGACCAGTCTGGATCCGCTGCCTTAATCCTGTTGACATGAGCAATCAAAGTCCTAGGACTTAATGTTTTTTATATGAGTGTTTCGGGGACTTGCATGGACAGGTGATTTGCTTGTCTTAACCTTACTGGCTCACTGCATTTATTCTTCCAGAATTAAGGGACTGATGAAATTATTTCTTGCCCATGTTTAGCAACAATACTTTCTGTTTTAAAACGGTACACCCACTTCGCGCTTCCTTGTGCTTGCTCAGAACAAAGCTACACGTGAAAATATGAAGCTTTGACCTCTCACATCACCCAAAACCACCATTATCTAAGTTAGCCTTGGGCACTCTGGGATGTCCAGCGACAGTGGTGCAGTGCAGCACAGGGACATCTGCTCAGCCCTGTAATTCTTTAGCTGTGTTTGCAGAGCAACAGGTACAAACTCAGGCATCTCCCCTCTCAGTTTAGCAAGCAAGTCATGATAACGTTGCCTTCAAATCCAGCAGGTAGATTGCTCCTTCACACAACAGATAAAGAGTAGCGAAGACCTCCAAAAGGTTGAGGAGCAACATCACTGCTTTGCTCCCATCCACTGCCAGGAGGAAATAACTCTAGTCAAAAGGTACAACAAAACCAGCATTTTTTAAAAAGTAACGATTGCAAAGTCTTACAATCAACGTTTAAAGAATAAAACATGGCAATGCATGTTTGTTGTCACCAGATCCCCAAGCTCTAGCAAGTTCATTAGTGTGCATTGTTCTTTAGGGAGCCGTTTTTCACTGTTAATCATGCTTTGTATACAGAAGATGTGCTTTGGGAAAGGGAAGTGGCTGCTAATGGAAACGTATTGCAGAGTGCTGGGATTTGTAGCCTACCTTCCCACTTGGCAACAGTCTCCGAATCGCCACACGGTCCAAATGCCATCCAGAGTTCAGACCTCCACCCTTGTGTCCTATGCGAATCTTTTCAATAATGTCACCAACATCCTCCAGCTACCAGGAAAAAAAAAAAAAAAAAAAAAGGAGAAAGATTGTGGCATGAACAACAGGTGACTTGACGTACTACTTCTTTAGTTTATTTCCTATTTTTCCACTCTGTATGAAGGCCCAGGGGAGCAAATATTAGAGTTGATGCCAATTATGCCCTAACTTGCATTTTAGCTAAAGGGTTTCCCTGAACTTCTCTTCCAAGAAATGGAGAGAATCTTGCTCTACTCAAATTACTCACTGTATGAGATAGGTTTGGTTGCAGAGCAGCAATCCTGCATCTCAGGCTTCTCTGTGTGAGTGGGAATGAGGTAATTTTTTAGCAATTGCAATGCTGCCACATCTTAAATTGTTCTTTTTAAATCCCTTTCCTTTTTAAACGCTTATGTGCACTCTCATTACATTGGAAGAATAGCCTTGAGGTCAAAGTACAATATTAACAGCCTGGCATTTTATATTATTTCTCTCCTATTCCGCCACAGGATCCCAATGACATTCTGAGCAAGAGAACAGGACCAGTATCTTGTGAAGTGGCTACTGTTTTTTTACGCCTCAACTTATTACTCGAGTGATTTGTTACTAGTTCATTACCTTCAAGTCACCTTCCTTCCAAAGGCTTGAACAGGAAAAATGATATTTGCTCCTGAGTAATAGCTTTTGGTTATTTCAGTGCAAGCCTTTGTACAGCTGGCCTTTAAAAAAACCCAGGCTGGCTGCAAACCTCCCTTGCACACAGCAGAAGCACACTGAACTGTCTTTCTGTCCATAGGGACTTGGAGTCTTTTTTTCTTGGAAACAGGAGAAAAATGAACATCTCAATTTGCACTGCTGGAGACTACTCCCTTCTTCTCTTCCCAGCTGACACTATTGCCCCATACTGAAGAAAAGACATCAGTAGTTTTAGGAGGCTCCTCGACTCCTGCGCTACTTAAGGAGCTCACACTTCAAACAAACTGCATTTGACTTGACCAGCCCTGCCCTCATTTTAGACAGCAAAAGCATCGATTGCAAAATAACTACACGATCCAAACTCGTTTCTGAAATTCATGCATGTGCACAAGTACACACGAGAGGAAAATTATTTTCTTCCTTCTTTGTCTGTCCAAATACTCAACTTTCAAGGAGGCCTTTGATCAATACATAGCAATAAAGTGATGTTCGACCAGTACAGATTCATGTCAAAGAAGAAGAGGTCTTTACTCCGCTGCATGCATCTCCAACAAATCATCACTTGGGAGCATAGCTGAGACCAGACTCGAATCTTTTTTTTTGCCTCTTTTGCAAAATCCAAAATGGCCGGGGCAGTTAAAAACACGAAAATAAATGGGTAGTTCTCAGTTCGTCTTTCCTGTGATCCCCAGATTGTTTTTAAGGTCTGCTGAATTCCAAATTATGCCTCTACACAAGTAGGTGAAAGAAGAATATATTTTGCTTCATCTCCATCTCCTGCAGCAAGAGGAACTGGTAAAAAGAGAATGGAGTTTGGAGACAGGCTAATATGGTGTTATAAATCTGGAGAACAAACTGCATTTTCACTCACTTCATCTAAGAAAAGTAGTGATGTTTCAGATTCTACTAAACCTAAAATAAATCTAACGGAATAAAGAAATAACAATAACACTCAGTTTAAGATTTATACCTATGGAGTAATGCAACCTCTATTATGAAAAACTGTGTGGAAACTCCATCGAAATAAGTCTTGTTCTTTGTTTTTAAGGAATCACACTGGGGGTTTATTTTATGATTCATGCCATGTAACAACAAAGTGGGCTGGAAGCATTTGAACTTGTTAAAAAGTTTCGGTTCAGAATTGCCTTCAATTATTTTACAAAACAAACCAAACTCAAAACACAGAGAAGTTGTGTGGTTCTCTAGAAAGTCAGTGTTGGTGTTGCATCTAGAGAGGGAAAGTGAGAACATGCAGCAGTACCAAAAGGACGAGCCAGAGCTGGACTGTCTATATTTTTACCTCTCACAAATTCTAGGCAATAACAATATATTATTAATAGGAATTGCAGAATATTGTAGATGTAAATGAGCTCAATCATTTACATGCACTGATTTAGTATTTGCATACAGTTGTCTAAACGCTTCAGGAAATATTTGGTAAGATCCTTCAAAAAGTTAGCCTCGGCTATTGAAAAATCATGATGTCTGTAGTAAAGTAACAATCTCTCTGTCCGAGGATACAGAGAAACAGAGCGTGATGCTTAAGCTGCCACAGAGGTAGAAGAAATTAACATCCTCCCCAAAATGAAGTGCTATGTAGGTAGTGAGCATCACAGATCAGGGCCACAAAGATGATCAGAAGGCTGAAGCACCTCTGCTACGTAAACAGGCTGAGAGAGTTGGGACTGTTGAGCTTGGAGAAGAGAAGACTTCAGGGACATCTTTTAGCAGTCTTCCAGTACTTTAAGAGGGCCTACAAGAAAGCTGGGGAGGGACTTTTTACAAGGGCGTGTAGTGATAGGACAAGGGGCAATGGCTTTAAACTGAAAGAGGGGAGATTTAGATTAGATATAAGGAAGAAATTCTTCACTCAGAGGGTGGTGAGGCACTGGCACAGGTTGCCAAGAGAAGTTGTGGATGCTCCATCCTGCAGGTATTCAAGGCCAGGCTGGATGAGGCTTTGAGAAACCTGATCTAGTGGCAGGTGTCCCTGCCCATGCAAGGGGTTTGGAACTAGATGGTCTTTAAGGTCCCTTCCAACCCGAACCATTCTATGATTCCATGATTCTATGATGCTTCAACACAATCTGCTGAAACAGGAATATGAAAGGTTGCATAAGGACCTTAAACACAAGGCAGCTAGTTTCAGTGATACTGCAAGCATTGGTTTCCTCTTACCTTTCAAAGTATTGCAGACTGCAAGAGAAAGCAAATATACAAAAAATAAGACTGGAAATGAGATGTACCCATATTAGATCCCACATGCATGGAGACTGATACCCTCTCTTTACCGAGAATGGTCTAGGAAACAGAAGATGTAAAGACCTTCCAAAGCGGCTCTCAACTTTACCTGGAAGGTAAGCCTCCATATGCATGTATGGATGTATCCATGTATCATGGAGCATCTGATGTCGTGTATCATGTATCATGGGGTGACCCGCCTGGTTGAGGAGGGAAGGGCTGTGGATGTAGTTTTCTTGACCTCAGTAAAGCCTTTGATACA